AATCATAGAATCATAGAATAATAGCACTGGAAGGGACCTCGAGAGGTCATCGAGTCCAGCCCCCCGCCCTCAAGGCAGGACCAAGCTCTGTCTACACCATCCCTGACAGATGTCTATCTAACTTGTTCTTAAATATCTCCAGAGAGGGAGATTCCACCACCTCCCTTGGCAATTTATTCCAATATTTGACCACATATAGTAATATGTCTAGTATTGACTCTTCTAGTTATAAGTGAACAAATCTACGCAGCCATATGCTCAGGGTTACATTACAGGCAGTCCCCGACTTACGTCGGATCCGCACTTACGAACGGGGCTCTCTCGCCCCGGAGCTCACAGGCAGCGGTCAGCCACCTCGAGCTCCAGGGCGAGAAAAGCTGCTCCAGGTGCCCCTGGTCTGCTGGGGACCGTCTCCAGCAGACCAGGGGCATCGGGAGCAAACCCGCAGCAGCGGCGGGGTCCCCCGCTTCTGAGGCTTTGCTCTGGCAAAGCCTCAGAAGCGCAGGAACCCACCGCTGCTGCGGGTTTGCTCCCGATGCCCCTGGTCTGCTGGAGACGGTCCCCAGCAGACCAGGGGCACCTGGAGCAGCTTTTCTCGCCCTGGAGCTCGAGGTGGCTGACCGCTGCCTGTGAGCTCCGGGGCGAGAGAGCCCCGTTCGTAAGTGCGGATCCGACGTAAGTCGGGGACTGCCTGTAATGTAACCCTGAGCATATGGCTGCGTAGATTTGTTCACTTATAACTAGAAGAGTCAATACTAGACATATTACTATATGTGGTCAAATATTGGAATAAATTGCCAAGGGAGGTGGTGGAATCTCCCTCTCTGGAGATATTTAAGAACAAGTTAGATAGACATCTGTCAGGGATGGTGTAGACAGAGCTTGGTCCTGCCTTGAGGGCGGGGGGCTGGACTCGATGACCTCTCGAGGTCCCTTCCAGTGCTATTATTCTATGATTCTATGATTCTACTATTAGATGGGGCGTTTGGGAATTGCCTCCAGTATGCCCCAATCTCATTCTCCATCCATTGTACTGCAGTTTAAATAAATTACCAAAGTAATTGAAACCAGCATGGTTATATTATGTTATTTTAATAAATAAAATATGCACAATTTTAAAATATTATGTGCAGAATTTTTAATTGTTTGGCATAGAATTACCCCAGGGCTATGTCTACACTGCCCCCGTTTTGCGCAAAAAAAAAAGCAAATGAGGTGAAGCGTGGAATATTGAGCTCCTCATTTGCATAATTAATGAAGCCCCGTTTTTCCGCAAGAGGCTTTTGCACAAAAAAGAGCCGCCTACACGGCTCCTTTTTGTGCAAACCCCCCTCTTGCGCAAGAGCTATTCTTCTGCATTTTTTTCAGGAAGAATGGCTCGTGTGCAAGAGGGGTTTTTGTGCAACAAGGAGCCATATACACAGCTCCTTTTTGCACAAAAGCCTCTTGCTCAAAAACGGAGCCTCATTAATTATGCAAATGAGGCACAGCGATATTCCACGCTTTGCCTCATTTGCATATTTTTTCACAAAACGGGGGCAGTGTAGGCATAGCCCAGGAATAATTGGAGCAAATAATACAACTACACCGTACTAGAATACTTACCCAGCATTGCCTGGGTTCCCAGCCCAGGGCAGCAGAGGCTGCACTGCCCACCTTCTGGCTTTTCCATGAGGCCAGCCCAGGGCAGGTGGGAGGGGCTTCGGTGGCTGCTCACAGCGGGCAGCCCAACACAGTGGCCCAGGGGCAATGGGAGCCACGTGATGGCTGGTAGCTGCTCCCTGGGACAGGCCAGAGAAGTGGGGGCTGTGCTGCTCGCCAGCAGCTGTTCCTCGGGGCTGGGACGCTTGCTGACCCCTGTGGTTATTTAGTGATAGAGATGTAGCCGTATTAGTCTGGGGTAGCTGAAGCAAAATGCAGGACAATGTAGCACTTTAAAGACTAACAAGATGGTTTATTAGATGATGAGCTTTCGTGGGCCAGACCCACTTCCTCAGATCAAAGGAAGTGGGTCTGGCCCACGAAAGCTCATCATCTAATAAACCATCTTGTTAGTCTTTAAAGTGCTACATTGTCCTGCATTTTGCTGTGGTTATTTGTGAGTATAGCTGTTCCTGCTATCATGCCCCTCCTTTTCTGTTTTATGTGAAACAATCACATTCCACAGACATCCCATTGTCCTAGCACAACCAAGGTCTGATCTTACTTTAAGTTATGATAAGAGGAACCTGCAAACCACATTTGGTGGTCTTAGCTCTTATCGTTTAGTAGGAGTTCTTGAACAACTTGGCTCACAGATGGACAGACACACAGACGCACAAACTTTCTAAAATATAAAGTAGATGAACAGTTTATTGGTGCCCATTGGACCTCACCAATGTCAACATAAGGTATATTCAGTTCAGTAGTTCTGAGTCCAACAGCAGCTATGTGTTATAATAATAGCTAAGGCTTTGGTACCAAGAGATGCCATAATATAGAACTGATGAACTGATATGGGTGCATATTCCTTCCTTCTTGCTCTTGAGCACTGAGGTCGAGCTTGACTCCGTCGCTGAGCAAGTCAGAATGCCTTGTGTTTGGCTCCAATAGAGTGATCTTTTCCTCTTTTTTCTTGTTACTCATATGTGTAACTCTGGGTTTGCCTCTTCACAGCCAGTGGAGGCAACAGATGATGCCTTCTGGGACCAGTTCTGGGCAGACACTGCAACTTCAGTGCAGGATGTTTTTGCCCTGGTACCAGCTGCAGAAATCCGAGCAGTGAGGGAAGAATCTCCTTCAAACTTGGCCACTCTGTGTTATAAGGTAAGGTGCCTTCTTCCCCTCGTCTGGAATTAGTGAGAGCAGCAGGTCTTGCTTGAGTTCCAATACTGAAGTGCTTCATAGGCTGCGAGTTGATCTCCACAGGGATGTGTTTCACTCATGGGCACTTCTTGATGGTATTACCACGGTGCCTAGGAGTCACATCCTGGAACCCCATTGTGCTGAGCATTGTGCAAACAGGACAAAAAGATGGTCCTTGGGGCTGCTTTCTGTGATTAGCAACTCTGCATATGCTTGGATTTGTCACTATCAGCCATATGCACAAGTAAATGGTTGCAACAGAAATGCATGTTGATTTTTGGAGTAGATACCAAAATGACCCAAGCCCTTGCAAATTCCATTACTTACCCTACTTGCTGTGATCCTTTTCAGGGCTTCTTGCCTCTGTTTCCTCTTGAGACTTAACTGCAGCGCCCCTTTTTGCCCTGCCGGGCATGAGTGGTTTGTTCACATTTCCTCTTTTGGTTTACCACTAACCACAGCTGGCATTTGATCAGTTCACTCATTACCCACTACTTCCCTAACTATTGGTGTAAGCATTGGCTGCTGTATACTTAAGGATCCTGCCCAGTAACATGCAAGAGTTATGTATCCTTGATGGAGCCAGTGCTCCTGCTTCCTTGTCAAAGCATCTGATTGCTCCTCAAGGTTCAACAACAACCTCAGTTAATGGAACACAAAGTTCTCAAGGGCCTGAGCCAACTGCGGTCTCCCTAGAAATGCCAGAGACAGATAGAAATGGGAAAATCTTAAGTCTGTTTGCTCATTTCACTGCTCTGTCTCACTTCGGCATTTGCACTAAAGTTGGAATGTTTTTTCATTGGAAAATGTTAATTAGTCAAAATTGAAACAATTCACGAGAAAGGGTCTATTTAAATGAATCTCCTGTTTCCAAAACCAAGTTTAGTTTTGCATTTTACAGATTCTAAGGCCAGAGGAGACCACTGGGATCCTGTTGTTTGACTTCCTGCATAACACAGACCAGAGAGGCCTTCCTGTTTGAATGAGAGCAGATCTTTTACAGAACATCCCATCTGGATTTGAAAATTGTCTGCTTCCATTTCAAATGACTGGTTGTTTGTTTAGAAATTTCAGTTTAATTTACACTACAATTTCAAAAGTAATACATTTTGATTGACCCAGAGTGAATTTTTTTATTCCTCTTCCCGCCCCTCCCGCCCCCTTCCCAATATTTTGACTTTTCTCTTCCCAAAGCAGGAGGACAAATTTTGAAATATCGAACTCTTGTTGGACAGAAAAAACGTTTCACCCCCAGCCCGCCGCTTAGCACTTTGGTTGATGCTTTTCTGTCAACCTTGCCCTCTCGGGTGTGCAACATGAGAGACATCTATTTGTATTGCCTATAATTCCAGAGCTTGCAAATTGTCAAGCCAGTAGGATGTGGTTGGCTGCTTCTGCTTAGGGAACATTTTGGTCAGCAAGATTTAAGCTCCTACTGCACTATAGTTTGCACCATGCAAACAGCAACTGTGTTCAGTAATAATTAAATGCAGATCTATCAGACCAGTGCTCGACATCTGTTTCCCACCATGGCTGTTGCTATCATGACTTCTTTTTCCAGTGTAGCTAGAATTAGCCCAGCCCATGCTGGGCTTTAGAACCCATAAAGCAACTCTAGCCTCTGCTGGGTAGAACAGACCGTAATGTGGAAGGAGGCCTGGTTCCTTGTCTCTCCAGATGGTTAAAAGATGGTTAGCTCTTGTGATGTAAATGAGACCCAAGTGCATTGGTCACACTAAGCTGCAGCGATGGCTGTTTGGCAAGACAAGCGTCCCCATCCCAGAAAACCAGTGATGTGACTGACCACAATTGCCCCCCTTATTGATGGCCTCAGCAGAGCAGCCAAACACTGGATGGCTTTGGGGATGGAGCCCCCCCCTCAGCGTAGAGCTCCCCGGGGGTAATGGACACAGAGGTGGTCGGGGGAACTTGGGCTGCTGGGCCACTGCCCAGGCTGCCTTGTCCCATAGATATGGGAGGAAATTCGGTATCCTAGAGTTTAATCCAATACCATCTACCAGCATTAAATTCACTTCTTCTGGGAAGGGGGGAGAGGTTGTGGGAGGGGGCGTTTTGGCAATTGACACTTTCCAATTGTTTTCTAAGAAAGTGAATTCTTTGCCTCCAAGCTTGTTGGGGCTAGCACAGCGCTGCTGTGGTCCATGGCAGAGGCTCCCAGGTGCTGTGTCAATGCATATAATCAATAACAGGCATTCTCTTGGCTTCCATATCCCGCTCCTGGAGAGATGCCTGCTGTGATCACAGCAGCTTTAAAATAATCATACGTTTCAGCTGCTTGGTTCTAACTTCAACACAGAGAGTGATTTTCCCCATAGAGACTATAGCAAGCCCTTGGGAAGTGGAGCCAAATGCTGTTTGTAATTCTGTGGCAGCAGGGCCTGTGTGTCTGTAAACCATGTAACTCATGATTAATGCTTCTGTTTTGTTGCCATCAGGCTGTAGAGAAGCTGGTTCAGGGAGCAGAGAGTGGCTGCCACTCGGAGAAGGAGAAGCAAACCGTTCTGAACTGCAGCCGGCTCCTCACCCGCATCCTGCCCTACATATTTGAGGACCCTGACTGGAGAGGCTTTTTCTGGTCGACTGTCCCTGGGGCTGGACGTGGAGCGGTTGGTATCTGCTGAGTTAGACTCTTCCTCTTTGGGAGAAGCTGCAGGAGGCAGAGACAGCATAGGCCCAACATTAATCAGTTGGGAACAGCCTTTTTACAGTGGGTTCAAACATTGTGGGAGGACTTGTACTGGAGTGATGGATAGGATGTGGCATTGAAACATAAACATGCTGATGGGAAAGACCCATCCATCAGCAAGCTTCCATACTGAGTAGAATGTAAGTGACTAATCGCTTTCCCCCACCAAGGGAGGGGGCTCAGGAGATATGCTTGCGGGGAGCTGGCTTAAAAGCCGGTTCCCCCAGCGCTGTCTCCACGGGGACCAGCGGGTAGCGGGGGCTGGGCGCGAGCTGGGAATCAGTTGATTCCTGGCTCATGTCTAGTTCCAGGATGCTGCGCCTCTGCTTTTAAAATGTATTAAGAGCTGGCACACAGCTGGGGGAGGGAGATCGGGGAAGTGGGGTTTGGCGCGAGCCGGGAATCAGATGTCCTGGCTCTTAATACACCTTTTCATAGAATCATAGGACTGGAAGGGACCTCAAGAGGTCATCAAGTCCAGCCCCCCGCCCTCAAGGCAGGACCAAGCTCCGTCTACACCATCCCTGACAGATGTCTATCTAACCTGTTCTTAAATATCTCCTGAGAGGGAGATTCCACCACCTCCCTTGGCAATTCATTCCAATATTTGACCACCCTGACAGTTAGGAATTTTTTCCTAATGTCCAATCTAAACCTCCCTTGCTGCACTTTAAGCCCATTACTCCTTGTCCTGTCCTCAGAAACCAAGAGGAACAAATTTTCTCCTTCCTCCTTGTGACGCCCTTTTAGATATTTGAAAACCGCTATCATGTCCCCCCTTAATCTTCTTTTTTCCAAACTGAACAAGCCCAGTTCATGAAGCCTGGCTTCATAGGTCATGTTCTCTAGACCTTTAATCATTCTTGTCGCTCTTCTATGTACCCTTTCCAATTTCTCCACATCTTTCTTGAAATGTGGCGCCCAGAACTGGACACAGTACTCCAGCTGAGGCCTAACTAGTGCAGAGTAGAGCAGCAGAATGACTTCACGAGTTTTGCTTACAACACACCTGTTGATACAACCTAGAATCATATTTGCTTTTTTTGCAACAGCATCACACTGTTGACTCATATTCAACTTGTGGTCCACTATGACCCCTAGATCCCTTTCTGCCATGCTCCTTCCTAGACAGTCGCTTCCCATCTTGTATGTATGGAACTGATTGTTCCTTCCTAAGTGGAGCACTTTGCATTTCTCTTTATTAAACTTCATCCTGTTTACCTCTGACCATTTCTCTAACTTGCTAAGGTCATTTTGAATTATGTCCCAAAGAAGTCGCAACCCCACCCAGTTTGGTATCATCTGCAAACTTAATAAGCGTACTCTCTATCCCAATATCTACATCATTGATGAAGATATTGAACAGTACGGGTCCCAAAACAGACCCTTGTGGGACTCCACTTGTTATCCCTTTCCAGCAGGATTTAGCCCGTTAACAACAACTCTCTGACTACGGTTTTTTTGGTAGAGCTGCAGCAGGGTTAGCTCCCAGAGCCGGGAGCTAACCCCGCTGCAGCTCCCCTGCTTATTGACTAGTTGATGGAAATTCCATCGACTAGTCAATTAGTTGATTAAACTAAATTTAACATCCCTAATACTGAGCACGAGGGGATAGACTGAAATTAACTACATAGTCCACGTGTAGCGCCAGCTTTATTGCCTTTTTCCTCTCATCTGCTGTTTGTTTAGTGCGGGTTGATATGTTTATTGGAGCATTTCTGTCACTTGGGCGTAGCTCTGGTTATGGGCTTGTTCAGGCAGGAAAGTTGCCCTGGTGTGACTTAAGTTGTCAGTTTAAAGTGATAAAGCTACGCAGATGCAAAAAGGCTGTGTGGACCTTCTTACTTCACCTGAAGAGAGACTTTGTTGGTTGAGCTTAAGCTGATGGAAACAGGTTGAATTAAAATGGACATACGCCAATCTGAAATCAAAATAAGAGTGTCCGGTGCGGCTTTTTGCAGTGGCTTAACTCTGTTGCTTTAAAAGCAGATTCCAGTTCTGCCAGTGCAACTTAGTTGTGTAGAAAAGCCATGAGAGTCATGGCCAGTGGCCCGTTCATGAATTGAGCTTTAAAGTTTTAAGATGGGAGCATGGTCCAGTGGTTGAAACCACGTACTTACAATTGGGTCCTAACTTCTATTTCTGTCTCTGCAATTGACTTTGTATGAAGCCTTGGGTGAGTCTTTTAACATCCTGGTGTCCTTGTTTTTCCCTCTCTGTGAAAGAGGAATAACAACATTTCCCTTCTTCACAAGGGGAGTCAAGGTGGGATGTTTATGAAGCATTTGGGGTCCTTGGCTGAAGTGCAAATTGACAAGTCAGGAGGGGAGTAGTTACTGTTCCTTGCCCACTTGCTAGTTTAGCAGCCAGTTCTTAACATGCCAGCAGTACTGTCCTTGCAGACTCTGCGTCGCAAATGGAGCCTTTTGGGTCTGGACTCTGTGCTGATTTGTTCAGTTGCTCCCACTGGAAGCTGTGTGTTCTGCTGTGCTTGTTACTGAAATTTAACAAAGATTGCAAGGGTGAGAAAGTGTTGGTGCAGCCAGAACCTAGCGCTTTCTGAGCCTGTCCCTTCTAATCTGCTTTGCTTATGGGCTCTTCGGTGGGAAGCTCTGGGCAGTAGGAGGAGTCCAGTTTGAAGCCCTTTTTCTCTGTTGTGGGTTTGAGCAGGTGTCTGGGACTCCAGTCTCCCCTATAGGGAGCTGAACTTGTGTGACCTGGCTGTTGGGCTTGCTTTGGGAAGGACATCACAGCGTGCTCTGTGTGAGAGTGCGGGATACAGCGAGGCCATTGTTAGGAACTGAATTTTCACCTTACTCAGCAGCTGCTTGGGCCCTAGGCATTCTGGCTTCTTGGGGGAGGACCCTCTCAAGTTTGGGAAGGAAATTGCTGGGATGCTTGGCTTGTTATCAGAGAGGAGAGAAATGAGCATGTCTTCCACCTTTTCTTTGAAGTGAAGGTCCTCAGCATGCGGTGGAAAAAGCCCCTTTGACTAGGCCCTGGGTATTGCCACCTAGAAGGCTGTGCTATGTGTGGCAAATATCGGTTTTGGATGTAGGGAGTGGATGGTAGCTCCTGGTTCCTTGGGGCTGTGATCGGAAGTAGGGAAGATTCTGGGGGTGAGAGTGGGGGTTGGATGACAGAGATGAATTCTGGGGGTCTGTGAGAGGGGAGGGGATGGGGAAGAAAGCAGACCACAGTTTTCTGGAGGTGATAAAAGATTCCTGGAGAGCCCTTTCAGAACCAGGGACCATCCCCACTTCCAGGGTGGGAGGGAACAACCGTCTTGTTCTGTTTTGTCTGCATCGCCGCTGCCTGGAGGGCAGATACCCCAGCGGGGAGGTGATTTGTCTGGAAGATGGTGCCCATCATTTTCTTTATATCCCTTTTGACCTCAAAGCTCCTCTGTTTCCTCTCTGATTTCAAAGCCAGAATAGAAGCGTGTCTGCTGATTGCTGGCTCTCCACCCCTGGCCTTGTTCCTGTGTCTGAGATCCTGTTATTGGCCTCCCCAATGTCGCATTAAAAGACGTCAATGCAGTGCAGGCTTTTATCTCCCTTTGGCCTGCCTGCTGATATTTAAGGGCTTTGTGTCATCTGCGTGCTGACGGGTCCTGGCTGTCACAGATAAGCTGCCATTGCACCTCGCCCCCTCCTGGCAGAAGCCTGGATTTAGCTGTACTGGGGAAGAGATGACATCCAGGATGTTCTTTGAATGGCAGGGTTGGAGGCTTACTGGAGACGTTCCCTTGGAAACGGCTGCAGAGGAGTAACCACGTGTGATGCTAGCTGCCGTCTCTGGCTAGGCTGGGGTTTGCTTTGAATGCCAGAGAGAGCGTTCCACGCTGCAGTCAGCTGATCAATCTGCAATGGCTGATGCCTGCCTAGCTGAGTGTTATGGCCCCTGTCTCCGTAGCAGCCCCTCAGTTCTGGACTGGACACTCAGCTCTGAAAGGCTTTATACAGTTGTACTCAGGTTGCCTGCTAGGCGACTCCAGTCCCTGCACCCCACTGTACATGATCTGAATCATCCACCTAGTCATGATGGGTTGACTCTTTGTTCCCCTAACAGCTGCAGTCCCTCTACATGGTAAATGGTTCCCTTTCCTCTAGCATCTGTATTAACTGGAGTGTCCCAAGGAGACTCTCTGATGGCTTCTTGTAACTCCCAGTAAAGCAACTCCCTGTCCCCAGTATATCTGTGGGCCTTGAGGCTTCTCCTCCCTGAAACTGCTCCCTCTCTGACTACATCTGCCACCTGCCTGCTCTGGGGGATGGCTTTTCATTTCTCCATACCCTCACCTCCCAACAGATGGGTTTCCTGCCCCTCACTGTTTTCTTCTCCCTCTCCCCTTCTCTTTCCTGCCTGTTTGTGGAGAAAGTGCTGCTTCCCCTGCTGTCTCATTACATTAGCTTGAGCTGAGAATATTCTGTCATCTTTGTCATTTTCAGGGTGATGAAGAGGATGAAAATGCCCGGCCCTTGGCTGAGTCGTTGCTCCTGGCAATTGCAGATCTGCTCTTCTGTCCAGATTTCACTGTCCAGAGCCACCGGAAGAGCACAGTGGTAAGCTGGGGAATCTGCTATTTAACTCCAGGAGGTGGCTGAGCAGGGGGCCTGGCTTTGGATAAGTTTCTAGACTGGCAGCCATCTTTCCTATGTACCAATGCAGGTTACGTTTCCCTTCTGTTTGCCTGGGTAAAGCTGGGCAGCCCATCTTTTGCACGCGGTAGGTATGGGCTGAGGGAATGCAGAGGGAAGGTGCCATCCTGAAGAGAGCCCAGTTAAAACTGAGACAGAAGGGATCCTAAGAACTGAGGAAATGGTTCTTAATCACGTGTATATCCTCCCAGTGAGCGAGGCAGGACAGAATGCCAATACGCTAGTACCTGACAGGAGGAATTGTGAAACATGCTGCTCTAAGGACACCCTACCTGGTTTACTGCCCGCTGGTTAGTGATGTACTGGTTTGAAATAAGTCTACTCTCAGCAGCATTGCACCGTTAAACAAGAAGTGCTCACCCATGACATTTGTAGGAGCCATAACTTAGATCCCAGAGCAGCAGCAACCACTGCATAAAAATGCATGGTGCAATTGAGTCAGGCCTGAAGGTGTGGCCTCTTCCACTGAAATCCACAGAAAGTTGGTAGTGGTCTCCAGTCTGGAGCTAAGGTGGAACTATTCTACAAAATGCGAGTAGACTTGGATAAGGAGTTCCTGATTCCGCCAAGCTAAAAGGAGAGGTGCAACATGCTGGGTGTAAAATGTCATCTTGTCTCTGTGACTTGGGAACAAAAATCCTTCTGACAGCAGCAAAAAAGTAAAAGGCAATTCCTGGGCTTCCCTGGCTGAGACCTAGTGAGCAGCACCACATTTCTTGAAAGTCAAAACCTGATTTCCAAAGCGGCTCTCTCCTTAACTTAGTATTTCCTGGGTTTCCAATATTTGAAGAGTTATTGGAACCATAACATTCTTGAAAGGCCACTGAGTAGTGCCTGCAACCTTCATGCCACCTCCGCAATGTGTTCTGCGTGACAGTAATGCTTCTGACCTTCGCTGTAAAGCACATTGACATCTAAAGCTGAAGATCTCTATGTAAGAGCTCAGGGTTATTATGATGATGTTGCCCAGCTGAGGCCATTCAGACCTTGCCCCATTGATGTCTGCATTGTTACCTTGTCAGAGCCAAACGAATGGGGCAAATTGCAGATGCTGCTATCTTTGATACAGACGAGGGAGCCTGTGGAGATGACTAATTACAGTGAAAGCTTTGTTATCCCAGCCAAAATATTGCCATGTCTTCAGGCACATGCACCTGACTCCTGCTATCCAGCTGGCCTTTGTGGGGCTTCTGACAGCTGGCATGTCCTCCTCAGCCTACCTTGAGCTGCTGGGAGCTGAAACTGCTGGTAGGGGGCAGGAGCAGAGCAATAAACTTTGTTATCCAGCACATTCAATTAATTGGCAACCCCCATTCCCCATGAGTGCTAGATAACAAAGCTTTCTCTGTAATTTACTAATGTTTGTACCACACCTTGAAAACATAAAGCACTTCCTAAGCACAGTGCATTGCAAATCTGGCCATGCAGCGTGCAGTCATGAAGCAAGCCACCTTCATAAATCATAGGTAATGCTCCATTCTAATTCCACAATCTCTACCATTAAGACGGAGTCTTACACCCTGGACCCGAGGTATCCATGGACCCTACTGCCACGTTAAAGAAGAGTGCAGATGTGGCTGGGAATTCAGAGCTACTTATGAAGTAAGGATGTTAAGAGGCAGGCAATCCACTCATTGTGTAGTTGATAAAATTTTTCTCAACTACACGATTAGTCGATAAGGGAAGGCTTCCTCAGTCTTGGCTTGCACCGGATCTAGGAGCTACCCCCCACTGTGGCTCTGCAGTTTAAATACAGTAAGCTGCAGAGGCACAGCAGAGGTAGCTTCCAGACCCGGCACGAGTCAGGACTGGGCCCACCAGCCTCTCCCCACAGCGGCCAGGGCTGGCCGCAAACAGGGGCTGCTTCCTGGCAGCCTCTCTTGCCCCTCTCCCCTGCACTGCTGCGAGCAGGCAGCACTGCAGAGATGGTGCTGGGGGAAACTGGCATTTACACCAGCTACCCCCAGCACTGGCTCCTGTTTTCCTCCTCTCCTTGTTGCCTCTGGTATAGCAGCAACAAGTGGGGGGAAGCGAGTAGTTGTAGTTGACTCAACTACCTGATAAGCCTGGGCTTATCAGATAGTTGACTACTCGCTTACATCTCTACTCTGAAATAGGGATGTTAAATATTGGTTAGTTGAATAGTCGATTAAGCTCACGAATTCTTATCAGTTACTTGACTATTCTATAGTCCCCAGGGGTGGAAGTGGCAGCCATAGTCGATTAAGCTCACGAATTCTTATCAGTTACTTGACTATTCTATAGTCCCCAGGGGTGGAAGTGGCAGCCAATGTGACTGTCGAAGCAAACGCTTCACTAGCCAGCCGGTCCATGAGGGGAGCTGATTTTTAAACTGGCTTCCCTCACCGACCAGCTCCTGTCTGGCACCCCACACTGCTGTCTCTGATACAGAGGCAGTAGAACAGGGGTGGGGTCTGAGCTCCCGGACCTAGCACGAGCCAGAACTGAGCTAGACTGCCTGCCCACCTGGCGCCTAATACACTTTCAATGCAGAGCTGCAGTGGGGTAGGTCCCGGACCCGGCACAAACTGGGACTGTTCGGGATTGCTGGCCAGCCTGCTAAAAAAATTACTAGTGGGGGGAGGCAGAATGCGTGTAGTCTGTAGCATTAACTGATAAGTTTTTGCTTATCAGTTAATCAGTTAATCCACTATATTATTACATCCCTACTTTGAAGTAGGTTAACAAGGAAAACTGAGACCAAATCTGTATGAAATGTGCTGGGACGAAAGTGCTCATATGTCACTTGCTAAGTCATCCTGAAGGGTCTCAGGGCTATTCTGCACAAGTATAGGCAGCAGAATGGTGCATCGCTGTGATATGAACTTGCTGTGACTAATGGTGGAGCTGTCTACCCATCTGCAATGTTCAGCGCTCATTCCATGTTGTTCATGTGTTGTAAATGGGGCATAGATTAAAACAACCCATCATGGTCTCTTAAAATATCAACATTGTGTAGTCCCATAGTAGGAGTTAGCTAGAAGCTGCTGCTAAGCTACTGTGGCCCAGAGATGGGCTCTAGAATGAGTGGAACTGTATACCCCACCCACATGGACAACTTACAGTGCTGGGGAGGGGGTTCTGTCCTTTGGCATTTTTTTAATTTTTTTTTTTTTTTGTAATCTCATTCTCATGGTTCAACTTTTAAATTCAAACTAATCTCTGACATTCCAAGTGATCCTGCCAGGCTCCTCTGGAACTGGAGGTAAATATGAGTGTCGTCCCCTTACTAAAGGTGCCTCTGCTTATTTTCTGGGAAGACCGTGTGTGCTGCAATCTAGCCCCACAGACTACAATTCCCATGAGCCCTGGAGGAAAACAGGAAGAAAGTGACGTTTGTTTTGGAGATTGGAGGCTCTCCACATGTGTGGGGAAGACTCAGCAGCCGAAGGATTCTTCCCTTTGTTTTTTGGAACAAAAGGGAGCCAGGCTGCTGTGGAGGAGTTTTTATCCAGTTCAGGAGCTGTTATGTTGCAGTTACAGACTGGGACAGAGAGCCTTTGGAACTGGGATCTAGCAGGCTGCTTCTGATTGCCCTAGAGGGGTGGCCCTTTGGCTGTACTTGTGGCTAGAAGCTACTCTGCATCCAGCACCTAGAAGGAGACTGTGAGTAACTGGGCATCTTTGGGAAAATGCTGCCTGGGACAGACCTCAGAGATTCAGACTAACTCTGGGTTAAGAGAGAGGCAGAGAGGCCAACCCAGTGAACCACAGCTGCTGCATAGCTTGGACCCATATACACACTACTTACAGAGAATCTCCATTACAGCTGCAGTTCTTCGAGTGTGCCCACGCAAGCAAGAGTCTGGGACTCCGAGTCCAGAGGTGTGCACACTCTGGGGTGGGATAAATATTGGCAGTGCAAATGGCAGCTAGATAGGTTTCTTTTACTTCTGTGTACTTTGTTAATTGATGTTATTCACTCTTAATTGGTTAAATCCTGTTTCTTTAAGTTAGGTAAAGGTTGTTCATCCTAATGCAGTCTATTAGATGTATATTATTTATGATTTGTAATTGTTGTTCTGGAGTTAGATCCAATTTATTGCTGGAATAAGTTTAATCCTGGAGGTTCCCAAGGCACACCAGTAAGTGTGTACAGGGCCAGCCAGGTGGAGGCACCGCCATTGTACATTCTTTATGAGCAAGGGACTGCAGCAACTGGGTGGATAGGTTCTCCCCAACCAAACAACATCACCACTGGGGTACGTAGGATCATCTTTTATGTCAAGACAGTCAGGCGTGCAGGCACACCTGTGAGTGTGACCTGCTCCTGAGTAACCCGGGGAGGAAAAAGGGGGTTACATTGGGCAACAATGTCTGTGGCATGAAGGAGATAGACATCGAGCTGCAGGCTGGATAATGCAGGAAGTTTCTCTCCTACATAACTGGCCTGTGATGTCATCACTGAGAGGAGAGCTGAGTTGCCTGGTACAGGCTGGATGAAGAGTAGCTATAGCCGAGTGGTCTAGTATGGCCGGGTGAATGCCAGTTACAATGGCTGACACTGCTCATTATCACAGATCATCCGCCCCAGAAAATACAGTCAGCAGGGCTTCCGCGGTCCGGCCTCTGGCTGGGCCCACCAGCCTCTCCCCGCAGCGGCCAGGGCTGGCCGCAAACAGGGGCTGCTTCCTGGCAGCCTCTCTTGCCCCTCTCCCCTGCACTGCTGCGAGCAGGCAGCACTGCAGAGATGGTGCTGGGGGAAACTGGCATTTACACCAGCTAATATTCTATAATTCCCAAGGGAGGGGCGAGCAGCCAGTGCACTCCAGCCTCACTCCCAAGGAGTACCCTGCCTCTCTGTGCTGCTGTCTCTGTATCAAAGACAGCTGCATGGGGTGGTTCCGGGAGCTCTGAAACTCTCCCCCCACAAACAGGGGCTA